CACTGCTACCTTTTTTCAGAAGCAGGTCCCTGCATGTCTGTCATAGATAGCACTGTTCTGTCTGTTTTCTTGCCAACTCAGGAGCATCCGTAAATGTAAATACCAATACTTGCCAAGTGGAGGGCATTGATTAGCAATCAAAATATTTTGTGTAGGAACTGTGGATATGCTACACTTGTGTGGCTTCTGGAGAGAATAAAATTGAGTTATTTCATTTCCTTCCATTGGCTCAACATTGATATTTGTAGTGCTGTGCTTCGGTGTTTTCCATCCGTTGTCTCTCTTTGAATTACAGATGTTTAAGCTGTAGCTGTTTATTCTCTTGGCAGCTTATAAATACTCTGCTTGACTCTTCCTTTAGTGTAAAGTTTTTCCCTTTTTTACATCACTTTGTTAGCTGCCACTGGCTCAAACTTATGCCATCTCTTACTTTCAGTGGGAATAAAGTGTATTTTTTGATCTTTCATATATGTTTGGTGGAAAGTTTTTGTTCCTGTTTTGCATTGCCTCCCGTAGTGCTGGGCAAGTGCTAGTGAAGGCAACTGATCTTTTTGTTATGTTTTTGCTGGAGGATGCTCCACCTGATTATTTACTTGGAGAAAGAGGTAAAAGAAATCCTTTACATAATGCTCTCTCTGTGTCCTGCTGCACACTCATGGTATTACATTGCCATCCACTTCACTTTTCCTTTTTTGCTTCACCAGTTCTTCAAAAATACTGTCTTTACCAAAAAATGATACTGAATCATGATTAAAATGAATCTCCTGCATATATATCCCAAACCAGTGATCTGTTTTATCAATGTAATAAATTTTTAAATAGAAACACAGGATCATTTAGGTTGGAAAAGACCTTTAAGATCATTGAGTCCAAACAGTAACCCACCACTGCCAAGTCCATTGCAGTAGACTTGCAGTGGACAGAGCCATGCATGACAAGCTGTATCTGATCTCCTCTGTTTTCTGGTACACATGAGGCTGTTGGGAATATTCCTGCCCCTGTTTCAGAAAGAAGCTGCCAGCACTCTGCATATGAAGGAAAACAGTGTGTAGAATTAAATGGGAGGACTGAGAACCTGCTTTAAACCCATCATAACCCAAACCAGAAGGCTAGCATCAGATTTCTGACATTCTGTTTACAATTTAACAGCTAGTTTTCCGACCCTTTCATTCCATCTATGAGCTGACACTCTGCAAGAAAGCAGCAGTTCTAGAAACAAAACCTGAATGGAATCAAGATACATGGCTTGCTATAGTCTCTCCTAAATTCCCAACAAAATCATGCTTGGCCAAGTGACACAAACATGCGATACCACACATTCACAGAGCCAGAAACTTATTATTTTGAGCTTCTGTTCAAGTTTCACATTAAGAGCAAGCCTGATCTTATGTAAGAGGGATGAATTCTCCTTCCACAGATGCGGAAAGATCAAGCTAGTAGAATTGGAAGCATCTCAAAAATTTGAACTGTATTCAGCTTTCAAAGGATAACTAAATTCTGTTCACAATGACAATGTCAAAGCATCACCTAGAGAACAGAATTTAGTAAGCAACTTCCACTTGCTAGAGTTTCTTACTTGTTAGTAAGAAACGTAAGACCAATCTCTTGTTGCATAAGGCAAATCATAGATACTTTCTCATGGCACATGAACTTACCACGGATCCAAAGACGTCAGCCCACAGTGTGTTCATATAGAATGACAGACTCAACTAGGTTGGAAAAGACCTTTAAGATCATCAAGTCCAACCATAGCCCTAGGACTGCCAAGACCTCCACTAAAGTGTATCACCAAGGGCTTGCTTTGCAGTTCCCTGCTGTAAAATGTCAGCAGATCCTTACATCTGATCCTTACATATATTCATTGACACTCTTTGGGCCAGAGGGTGTGCAGAGGACTGTCCAGAGGCATTTTTGTTTCGGGATCAGAGATTCAAGGTATATCTGCACTAGATGTTACTGCAATTTATGTAAATATATACAGACTGTCTACAGACTAGTTTGTTAAGGAACTGTTAGTCAAGTAGAACCAGCAGCCAGGAGCTCAGCACATCCTTACATGTGAATATGTAGCCAGTTGCTCAGAGGTATTTGCTGCTGCATTTGAACTCTACCTTACCACAGCCGTATGACCAACAGCCTCCAAGCAACTTCAGTGTATCAGTGGTTGTAGTCATGGTTTAAGTGCTCTAGAACTTACTCGTGAAAACAACTTGATCCTTTATTTGCTACAGAGAGTACTACAAATGCATACGGTGTGATACAACTACGTAATACATGTTACAGTGCTTTAGTGACATTTTGTTTCCCCCATTATTTCAGCATCAACTGTCAGCTCGTTTTATAGATGTGTCCATGGTAGTGTCAGTCAGCCTGAAAACCACCAGCTGCTTGGGAATGTTGATGTTTTTATTTGCAAAATTCTGCACTGATTTGATGAGTGTCTGTTTTTATGGCCAGCTCTGAATACCTGTGGCTTTGCTCAGAGAGTCCGAGTAGTTTACTGCCCAGGTAGAGCAATAACCTAGAGCCAGTCCAATAGATGCACTGGGTATAGGAATGGCGTGGAATTTAAATTAGCTGAATGTGGTCCTGTGTGTCATCTTTTACCTGGAGATGAATTACTAGGTAGAAGTGGAGGCTCAGCACCTGTTTGAAGTTCAGACTGCTCTTTGGGGAAATTAACCCATGAACAAAACAGTTGGAAGCTCCTGCCTTTTCTAAACTAGCATTGTTCTGAAGAAATTAATTTTCCCCTATACTGGCTAATGATCCTGGCTGAGAGACTGTTAGATCGTAAAATGAAAACTATGTTTGTCCTTCATATGCTGAATACTACCTTAAAAATTTTACAGAAACACTGTACCTTATTGTTGAACAGAAAGGCCTTTCTGCCTTCAGCTGCTGCTAAAACTGTAACTAGAGGCTCTTTTCTATGGCTGCTTTTCATGGTGATTATCCTGTTGCTTTTGACCAGCGAAGAAAGTTTCCAAAGAACAGGGGTTTTACTTCAGAATCAGCCAGATGGTATAAAACAGGAGGCATCTTTATGTGCAGCGGGAGAGATCAGCTCCACTGAGTTTTGGATATTGAATAAGTGAAACAGCTGCTGCACCTGGTTTCTTTGTAAGATGCTTAACTGGTGTGTTTCATTACAGCCCCAGCGAAGTCAGCGTGGCTGGTTTTACTCGCAGCAGAGAGATTTGACCCTCCGTGTGCACAAACCGAGTATGGCTGAGTGCCCTATGTTATATCATCGAAGAAATGCAAATGTTTCCATCAAAGTTTAGCAAAACAAAGGCATTTATCAAAGATGGAGTAATGAGTATAGAGTATTTTCCACCAGCTCAGTCTCTTTTCTCTGAGGTGTATCTGTGACATTCAGGCACACAAGATGTTAAATGGTAAAGGCAAATATTTGTTAGACTGCCAGGAACAGGTTGTTGCTATTAAGAATGGGTTTGCAAATTTTTTTTTTCCTGAAGTAGTTTCCTCAACTTGAAAATCACTTTTGACTGATGTTTTCCCCAGTCTTAGAAAGGGCACCTCTCCAAGATGAATCAATAGAAAAGAGCCCAATGTCAGTAAAAGCTCTGCTTTTCGTCTGCATTTGACACACAGGAGTTGGGAAAGATTTTAAAACCAGGGAAGAGTAGTAGTTAAGCCACAGAATTGTCTGTTTGGCTCAGAGCTGTACACAAAATTACTTTAGCCATTTCAAACTGATTACATTCAAGTTGGTAGTGCTGTTTTCAGCTTGAGTTATTGATATAAGACCCATCTTACTGTAACAGCTGCTATTTCAGTATGCTAAATGGAAACAGTTGATGCGGAGAAGAACTGATGCTTTATGCAATTTGAAGTTTTCCAGCGCTCAATATTCTGATGGCTGCCTAGACCGAAATTCAAAGCCATTAAACAGGCCATCATGTCAATAGTACAGGTGGCAGCAACAAAAGCACAAATTCAGGAAAGTACAGCCTGAGCTAATTAATAACTGTTTTCTAAAATGCATTAACAAAAGCCTCCCACAACCTCCCCGTTACCTTACTAATGAGACAGGACTGGATTAATGCAATTGAGAAATCTCTTTAGTCTCCGAAGTAGTCTTCTGATGGCATATCTGGGTCAGTTTGTCTAATCAACTTTTGGTTATTGAAAGTTATTTCTAAGAATTTTATTTAGCCACATGTAAAAGGAAGTCTGTTGTGGAGCTTGTTTCCTAGATCCTGACGTTATGTAATGGTTCTTTTGGAAGCCCCAGGTAATACGAAAATCTTGGGGGTTTTAACTGGTGTCAAAAACTATCCCAAAATATTCTTCCTCGCTTTCTTTGATTTTTATTTTGATTCATAGGGTGTTTAAACTTTTAAACCTTTGCTTTGTTATCTTTTTCGGGTCAGAATACCACTTGGGATAGTGTGCTAGTTTTGCTTTGAAGGGTTCTTAGAGTCTCAGTTTTGGTTTTGCTATTTTGAACTTGATTTCTTGCTCAAAGCAGAGGCTTTAAGGCCTCTGATTTAATAGCAGCATATTGCAATTGAGGGAAATCAGGATCTCAGTCTTGCTGGATGTAGTTACAGCTAGAGAAGTATCTTAGAACTAAATGATTTACTCTTCCTTTCGAGCATCCAGTCCATTAAGGTTGTTCCATCTTTGCAAGCAGTGATTTTTTGGGGGGGATCCTGTGACAGGATGTGCAAGAATGTCAACTGGGAGAAAGCACTGGCTAATCGTTTACCACTAGAGGGCATTGACCATTCTCATTAATTTTACTCCCTTTCTGGAAACGCAGGAGTGAAGTATTCCCTCTTTAGAGATTTTCTGGATCACTGTGAAGACTCTTACCTTCTGCCATGGAAAGCTGAAGTCAGATTGGCAGGATTTATAACGTTTGCATCCTGGCAGATGTGCTGCTTGCTATTTAGAGTGAAGAAAAATTCAAATGTGTCAACACTAATACTTAACCCACTTGTTCTTGTTTTGTGGCTCATAGGTCTGGGTTGGGTGTTCCTGTTATTCTGAGAAACTCAGAAGAAACAGAATCCAGTGCAAGAGTGTTGAAAAAGCAGATGAGACAAGTGAAGAATCCTTTTGGGTTAGAAATCCTTCATCCTGCTACAGCTTCAGTAACAAGTCAGTGAGTTTCTGATGTGCTTGATTTTTGTCCGTTTGGGTTCCTGAACTTAGTACTTTCTGTTTTCTTGCTCTCCCCCTTTTTCTTTACCAAAATGCTTCAGAAACGTTCTTTCTTCCATCATTACAAAAGAAATAATTTTTACACCACTTATAAATATGGTGGTTTTAAAAGTAAAATCTTTGGCTATTTAAGTGCAGTTTAATTCTTATTAATGAAACACTTCCTGCTGTAACAGATTTCTAAGTAGCAGAAACATTTGTAGATTACAAAAACGCCCACAGTAGCTGGTAAACTTTACAGAATTGTAGAATTGTATAGATTTCATTATAGAATATATGCCACCCACTTAAATCTAAGTCCCAGTCTCCAGTGGTGTTTGGAAATGCACTACTTTAAAAAAAAATCTCCTCTTTCTATCTGTGTTTCTGTGGAAACTGAATTTAAGTATCTATTTGGATCAGAGTTCAAGGTAGTTCCTAACATCCCTGAAGTGGCCCACATAGGAAGTGAAATTCATGCCTTTCTGCATCACTGGGGAGTAGTAAGCAAGGCTGACTTGCACTGGCATCTTCTGCCCTTGCAGATGTGGAGCCTTCCTATGAATGAGAAAAGGGCTGCAGCAGTTTTAACCTTCTGTCTATGTAGAAAAACAAAACAACCCCAAACAAGAAACTCAGCAACTTAGTCTTCAGGTAACTTGGATTTTTCAGGAGGTTTGAGCACTTGAATTTTGTGGGACTTTTCAAGAGCTCTGCTCCTGTTTGTGTAGTAAGTGATTAGAAGTTAATGGGTTGGGTGCTTGATTTTTATAAAAGAAATGAAGCACATAGATCCTCTGTTTATCCTCCCTCTGTATGATCAAAAGGGCCTTATTATTTGAGACCACAGAGAGTTGTAGGCTGGTGATCCAGTTAATACCATTATCTAAGGAGGAAAGGGACTTTGGACTATGGGTTGTACTCATGGGTCTGCCAGTGAGTGTGTAAAATGTTACCAGAAGTTAAAATATATCCTTCATAAAATGCATGTGCTGCTTTTGTTAGCTTAATCAGCCATTTTATCTCCTTGCACCCACTTCCTCATCTCATTGACTTTCATAGCACTAAACCTGGCCTAAATTCTTAGAAGATTAGATTATAATGATAAAAATCTGGGACGCTTTAAGAACCTACACGTAGCAATTCCAGAATTCCTGCACATAAGTGAGTTAATGAAATCCTTATCTTCTTTCTACAAGAGGGTATAACACTGACACCAGACTGTCTGGAAGACTGTATTCTTACATGCTACTGGGGCTGCAGTGTTCAAAAACTTCATGAAGCATTGCAGAAACATGTCTACTGCTTCAGAATAAAGACTCCTCAGGCATTAGAGGATGCTCTGTACAGCGAATACCTCTATCGACAACAGTACTTGTATCCTTTTTTGCAATTGCTTTGACAAAATATGCTGTTTCATTGGCACAGGGAGTGTTAAGACTTGTGAACATTCGGCAGTTCTTGGCACAACATATTTATGAACAAATATGATGACAAATATTCTTTATGCAAACGTCACATTTGTCTACAATTATAGTGACACTGATTGTTTTCCTTGACACATACAAAGCATTAAAAAAAATGACAAGGAAGAAAAACATTGTCAGTTACCAGAAGATGCTCAAGTTGTTGATTTTGGTCCAGTGCCTAGATCTCGCTATCCCTTGGTAGCATTGCTGACGTTAGCAGATGAAGAAGACAGAGAAATATATGATATTGTAAGTAATATAAGAATGTATAGAATGTATTTTAGGGTCAGTGTGTTTAAGGTCTGAATGTTCAGGAGATAGGCTTGAATAAAACAACTTCCTTTCCCTGGCCCCTAGAATTTGGTCCCTAGCCTTGTCACTCATGACTCCGTGGGAGCATGGCAGAAGAGCAAAGATAATTGTTATATGTAAAATATGAGTGCCATTCAAAAGATGCTTATGATTTTCAGAAAGCTTATCTCAGCAAAGTTCTCTGTAGTAAGCCCTGTCATCAGATGAACTGGGGTTGTAGTAGGTTAGTAAGCTATTACTCCCATTTTTCTGATCACATAAACCTGTGGAGGAGCTCTTGCACTGATACAGTCTTTTGGGTTGCTGTTGGCAAGGTAAGAGGATTTTTGTGTGTGTGTGTCTGGCACAGATACATGAGCTGACTGCTGCCTTGACTGTTAGAAACATAGAAATTACCTTTCTGCTACAGCCAAGTCTGTGTAATACACTACATTGTGTCTCACAGTAGCCAGCTTCAGGGTGTTCACAGGAAGGTGTGAAGGTCTCCTTGTGGACTGATAAGGGATACTCAGCTCCCTGGAAAGGTCTCCTCCTAATCTCTTACAGTTAAAGCAGCTTCAGATTTGTCACATGCAGTTCAATATCCCTTCTAAACTCTAAACTGACTCTTTTTGGAATGATTTGGGACACACTTTTCTCTCCCATCTTTTCATTTGGTTGACAATCTAATAGCACTAACTGCTTGAACAATAATACAAATGAACTTGGAAGTAAATTGCCTAAATCCACCAAACACTTTTCCACACATTCATTTGGAAATTGTTTGTGATCACACCAGTGCCTAAGAAATCTGATTCTTTTCTAAGTGATGCATGTCCTTGGCTTCTTATCACTTGACCTTAGGACTGCTTCCCTCCCTCTTGTCCCGTGACTTGAGACACTCCCACATGCCCCAGCTATTTCCTGTATGTTTGACATTAGTATGGACATGAGTTTGTAACACCTCTTTTGTTCCTTCAGATAGAAGAAAGGGATGAAAGGAGAGTGGGGAAGGTATTTTTCCTCTGGTTTTGGGGAAAAGGAACACAACTAGAATCTGTCAATATGGTCAAAGAAGTAACTCTACCTGAACTCCTTGCCAGACAAATGTCAGAATTGCATCTCTTGTTGTAAAAACAAACTTTTAAAATATAAATACAGTGTGGAAAAGGATCTTTTCCGCTCTGGCCAGTATGATATTACTGCATTATTCTAACATCAGTGCATCAAGCTACATCTTTAGTTATTTTGTATGTGTGTGTGTCCATCACTATGGCTGATGTTCCAGTAGCTCTTTTCTGGAGAGACTGATTTTCATCCAAACCATATTTGTGGCTAAATCATACCTATTTGGTTTTGTGCCTTAATTTTCCTCTAGCTCCAGAAATTAGAGTGACCATATATGAGAGTTACAGAAATTATTTGAAGACTGTCAGGGCTAAAGTGGAAGAAGACTTAGATCTTAGGCCTGGATGAAAAACAGAAAGTGGAAAAGTAACTTCGTTATGGTGTACAAATACTTACAGAGAGAGAAAATACCTGGTACTGGAGGGGAAGGGGCTCTATAATCAAACAGCATAGCATTTCTACTAGATCATAGTATCACTGTTTATGTTTCTGTACTACAAGGTAACAGAGGAATCAGTAGCTTGAAGATCAAGATGCTTGTGTTAGGAACTGATCCCACTCAGAGTTAAACAGTTTCCCAGGTGTCTGAACAAACTAAGAATTGAGGACATGAGTTGTCATTGAGAAAGCATTTGTGGTGGAATGACATAATACAAATACACTGCAAACTGTTAACTTTAAAGTTCTTAGTATCCAAAGGCAAAAGCTGTCATTTTAATGCAGATTTAATGGCTTTCAGGTTTGAAAACAAAGCTAGTAGTGGTGTGGGGTTGTTTGTTTTGGGATGTTTTTTTGACACATTGTGATTTAGAAAAAAAGACCTTATTGCCAAAGAATAGTAATTTCAGTTAGTATAAATACATATGTATAGGTACATATATGGAGAGTCTGCATGTAATTAGCCATGTGTGGATTTTGAAGTACAGGTTTGATTTGCCTTTTTTTTTTTAACAGCTTTTTTCTATATTTCATTTCTCTTGACAGCTTCTGGGAACTACAATAATATTGAATTTCACTTATTTTCCTCGTTTTTAGAGGCTGTTACATAATTTGGGCAGGGTGAGGAGTATTAGGCACAGCATGCAAGCTTAGAGTGCTTTTACTTCTAGAAAACTGACTCTAAAGTCAGTCCACAGGATCCTTTCATAATCTTTTCAAGTGAAATTTGTCTTTTAGCCTGCTCATTTTAGAAGCCAAATCAGGGACACTTCTAAACACTTTTCAGAGTCCAAAAAACTGTGATCTGTGTGTTTGTGAGGGAAGTGGGAGAAAATAGAGAAAACTTTGCCTCTGACATGTTCCCCTCTAATTATGCAGTTGGAGCTCAGTCGATAGGGTCATTTCTTGTCTTTAAGACAGCCCAGGATGTGGCCGCAGAAGTTGTATGGGACTTAAATGCATAGACTCGTTTAAGGCTCAGTTGCTGTAGGAAACTCCTTGCAGTTTGTCAACTTCTCTTCCATGTAGGAGGAGCTCATCATGAGTTAGTAGAGTGGAAAGAGGAGTGTAGGAGCTGCTGCTTCTGGTTGAAGTCATTATGCCTTTCCATGGCACATCCATGATTGTGTAAGCAGCCCTACCTCAGCTGCCTGAGCACTTACCTTCAGGAGGACTGCATGTGCTTAGGTGCCTTTTCAATGTGGGGTGTGATTCCATTAGGTAAGAGCAGTCAGAGAAGGCCTCTACTGTAAACTGGCCATAGAAGGGCTCCATGGAGAATAAGGGCAGAGAACTGAAGCGCCACAAAGTGCTGTCTTGTGCCATGTCCTGTTTTCACCTTATCCAGCTTTTTTTTTTTTTTTTTTAAATCTGTGTTTGAAGTCAACATTGTTGATTGTCTAAGGAAATAAGCAGGTCAAAGGTTGTAACAAAGTGTGCAGTCTTTCAAACCAACTGTTGTATATGATTCATATAAGGAAAAGGAAAGTTATTAAACTTTTTTTTTTTTTATTATTTGGTAGATTTCAATGGTGGCTGTAATTCACATTCCTGATGAGAGCTACAGACTTCCCTGCAGAATACTGTATCAGTATCTGCTTCTAGCTCAAGGTCAATACCATGAGTTGAAGGTAAGCCCCATACTGAGTCTTGTTTCATCTGGGTGACAATGTTAAGTCTAGCTCATATAGGCATTCAGGAGCCTAAATTAGTATAAGACTTATTGTCAAGCAAAGAACTGGGTAATAGTTAAAATTATCAATTATTTCAGCAAAAGTTACTGTACAGAAATATTTTATATGACCATATTAAAGATTTCCTGGAGAAATTACTTGATTCTAGTCTAGGCAACCTAGGTCATGTCTGCTTCTTAAAGCAGTGATAAGAAATTAACTAGCTTTGAATGCTTCCTATTTCCAGAACATTTGTTACCTCCTTCCTAGTCTCTTAAAATTTCTCCTATACTGCCCTTCGGTTGGGAAAAATGAAGAAGAAACTTTTTTTGTGTTGTTTTTTGTTTGTTTTTTTATATATACTTTTACTGCAATACATGTGCAAAAGTTAGGAGTAGGCCTAGCACAAACCAGTATAAGTTAAACCAATGGTCTTGTTATTCCAGTCCAGTTTCCCTTATCTATGCTTCCTCTGGGACCATCTTTGTCCTGTGTCTGTCAGGCAGTTGATGGTGTGATTCTATGCAATACACTTTTTTATTATTCTGGTAATAAAAATAATGTATGGTATTGATAAGCTAGTAGTTGGGCCAAATTAATTCAGTTGAGTAGCATTCAGTCAGAAATAGATTTGTTCAAAGACATGTTTGTCCTGGCCATTTGCTGACATATTATGCAGGTGAACTTCCCTGTTGATCCCCTTAAACCTTCTCTTCATGTATGGTTTCCATTGTAAAAACATCACTTCAGCTGAACAGAAATAACTGTGCAGCTGCATGCTGTGTAGTTGTGCAGCGTGCTCTCCACAGGCACCTTTGGCTGCATGGCAGTTTACTGGCTTTATTAAGTTATCACACCCAGAAGAATTTGCACTTCATATAAAATGCAACAAAAAGGAGTAGGGGATTGAGCAAGAGTAGAATGGGTTGGGTGAGTGGATTTAACAGCTGGGTGGATATATTTTTGGTAGGAATGGATGGAAGCATCCCTCTAGCCATACAGAACAATACACCAGAAACAGAAACCCGAGTTGGGTTTCAGAACCTGGACAATACTGTTTAAAGTTCATGCATGTACATTGATTTGATTCAGCTGAGATTTGATGACTTATCCTTAGTATTTTCCCAGTCTTTTATGTAATTTTGTGCTTCTGAACTACCTTTAACTGAAGGCCAGGTGACTGTCAGGACTCAGGGGAAGAGTGTCTGGCTCTTGACCCAGTGGAAACCAGTCAGTCTGACCCAGTGGAACTTGCATCGTGTGTGTGTATATTTTCAGCTATCAGGGGAAAGTTTGTTGCCTTCTAAATGTTTGTGTATATGTGTATTTTAGCAGCTCTACATGTCTGCAAATAGTACTGCAGCATCTTCAAGCGATGCATCCCCTGGTGAGAGAAGCACTGACAGAAGCTTACTAGAAAAGGCTGGACTGGCTGAAGACGAACCAGAATTGCATGAAGAAAATAGTAAAGACTGTGTTGTTTGCCAGAATGGCACAGTGAACTGGGTACTCCTACCCTGCAGGCACACGTGCTTGTGTGATGGCTGCATCAAGTATTTTCAGCAGTGTCCAATGTGTAGGCAGTTTGTTCAAGAATCTTTTCCACTTTGCAGTGAAACAGAGCAAGATGAAGATGAATCAACCCGTATCTTGCAAGATGTTCTTCCTGGAAGAGTTTTTTAATATGGAGAAAAACAGAACTGGGTTGTATGCACCAAGATTAAATGTAGAAAACAGACTGCTTATGGGAGGTTACGTAGCATTAACTCATATGGTTTTGCTTTTTATTGTTAGGTAATTCTCAGCTTCCTTATTTTTCTTCGCTCCATATGCTCACAGGAACACCATGCTTATCCATGCAATGTGGACGGGAGAAGTGCGTGGGGTATCTTTGAAGAATGTGATTTCATTTATAACTTCTTACTAGTTTTTCATGGAGTACTATTAGAGGCGATTTTGATTACTAAATTTAGTACATCTACTAAAAAAAGAACAAAACTTGCAAGTGAAGTTGCACACAGCTCATTCTATATTTATTGTATTTAAAATACTAGAGTGATATATCATTTTAGCTGAGTATAATTTAGAAACGTAGCACTTTACAGAATGTATCAAATGAAGGAAAGTAAATATTCTTCATTGTTAAACCCATGTATGTTTATTTTGTAGATGAAAGCTGGGTTGTGGCAGGAGCTGGGAGTCAATGGCATGATTCAGGACACTGTTTCTGATTGTTTTGAAAGATGTGTGTGTATGCAGGCATGTGTGAGGGGCCTTAGTCAAAGCCCATTGGAATGAGTGGAAAGATTTTTGTTCATAATTGTTGTCTTGAACTAAACATTGCTGTCACTTTGAAGCCTGAGCCTCTGCTAAGTCATCTTGAGACACAGACTTTCCATCTTGTTAGCAATGGCTGTAAGAACTTGTTCTCCATGCAAATGTTAGTTAATTACTCCACAGAGTGGTTACTTGGGCAGTTTTGTGGTGCTGTTCTAGTATGAGTAGCCTGCTTTGGGGAATTTCCAACTCTTTTTACTTGCATTGTCAGCTTAGATGCAAAGTTAACCATTCACCTTTTTTCAATAGTCCCAAGGAATTTACTTACTCAAAGAAAGAACCTACAGAACAGCAGAAAATTATTCTTTTTCCCCCCAGTGGTGTATTGTCAAAAGCAATAAAAATGGCTGTTGAGAAGAGAAAGTGGTGTTTTGCTTCTTAAGAAAGCACCAAATTTTCCTGAAAACAGATGGGCTGGGTCTCACATCTGTTAATGTAAGACAAAAATGCAAAAGCTCATTAGAATCTGCGGAAAATGGGGAGTAGCTGCTTTCTGTCCCCCTTCTTGTTCCCTTGCAGGTTTTCCCCACATCCAATTCCAGGACAGCTGCTCAGTATTGGGAAAAGAAAGCCCAATGGCTCGTGTTCTGAGCCATGCTCCAAGCAATTCAGCCTGTAACTCCTCTAACGGTGCTGCTGTACAAGGTACATACAAGGTGTATGTGCTGCACATCTCCAAACCAGGGCAGGAAGCTTCCTCTAATCAAAGGTACTGCATCTTTCCATCATTATTTTTATTTCCTGTTTGCCATGACCCTGCTTCAAACTCCTGGTAATTGCCTCTGAGGAAAAGATTTAGGCAGTAGTGGAGAGCAATATTGTAAGGACAGGGTAAGGTTGGGAATTGATGCATATAGCTACAGATCTCCAGCCAGCATTCAGCAGGCTGTTTGTAAGACAATTTATCTGGTCTACATAAAGTGACCTTCCTTGCCAGGGACAACTTGGGAACAAACTGCTGGCTAAATCGGCCTTGTGTTTCCACTGTAGATCAAACACGAATTAAATACCCAGGTGTCTGGGGGGACTGCTTAGTACTTTCAGAGAACTTTGGAAGACTCACGGTTCTGTGAGGAAATCATCACGGCAAAGAATGAATGGTGTATATGCTGCAATGCAGGAGGCTGAGAACAGTGAGAGGAGAGCAGAGCAGAATGTCACTGCAGAAGGAATGAGTGCTGGTGGCAGCAAGGCCATACCTCAGATAAGGACACAGCACAGATAGGGAGCAACAACAGGATGATGCAACTCAAGCAGACCCAGAGCTGCCTGTATCAAAAGAGAGCGTAGAGACTGTAAGTGTCATATGGTGGCTTCACCACTCAGGGTAAATCAGAGGCATGATGAGAACATGTCCTCTGTGTCACTCCAGGCAATCCACACTGGATCCCTTGGTGCTAGTGAGAATGTGAGCGTGCAAGAATAAGCATGCAAGAATGAGTGGGTGAAATCAGGCTTAAAAATAAAAATCATAGAATCATGGAATAGTTTGGGTTGGAAGGGACCTTAAAGATCATCTAATTCCAACACCATGCTTTGGGCAGGGGCACCTTCTACTAGACCAGGTTGCTCCAAGACCTGTCCAGCCTGGCCTTGAACACTGCTAGGGATGGGTCAGCTGTAAAAAATCACCTTCCCTTTCTTTCTGTGGTCTTGCATTGAGTTTTTTGCTGGCTTGGTTGCAGCCTACCTGCTGGAGGTAGTTGCTAAATTTAGCCTCTTTACCTGTGTTATGAGCCTTGCTCTGCCATTAAAGGGGAGCAGTTAACATGATGATAGTGGAAATAATTGCTCTTCAAACTTCCGTTCATAGCCATGTGTCTCTGCTGTGAATGGAGAGCTGCTGTAAATGATTCCAGGCTTCTGTGGGCTCTCAGAAAAATTAATATAAAGTATATAAAGAGCCTGTGCTGTGATAATAACTGTTTCCATATGAACGGCTTGTGCTACCAGCATGTGGGATAGTGGCTGGACAGCTTGTTATTCCAGAGGAGCCAGTTAATGCTGCGCTTGTCCTAACCTGGAGCTGGGCACTTCTTGGTAGTCAGCAGGGACTGGGTTTGTCCATATAGATAACCAAAGAGGTGTTGCTTACTGCTTAACCACAGCAGTGCCCAACATTCAATCAATGAATTAAGATTTCCCAACAAGACAGTGTGATCCAAGCTTGTGGGCTTGTTTAATCTCAAGGTGAAATGGTATTCAAGTAAAGCCCACAGAGAGTTGCCTGGTCTGTCTCATCCTTCAACTGATCGATGCCACTATTAAATAATAATAACAGCAAACAGGATGTAGCTGTGCTGACCTGCGAGGCCATGTATTTACCATTAAGTCTGTCCCAGCTTTTCATTTGTTTCATGTTCTTTTAATAGCATTTTCCAGAGATGCTTAGTTACTTTATCAGATCTAACAAGCTTCCTTGCTGGCCCAAATCAAAGACCTGACGGAGAGTTATAAAAGGTACAGTAGCTAGCTTATTACATTTGCCCTTCTTCTAAGAAGCCATCTCAAAATATAGATCAGGTGAGAAGTAAAGGAGCAGCTCTAAAGCTACCTTGTGTGTCCCATGATTGTCTTAAGACAGGGATTCAAGGCTCTAAGAGAGAAATAAAACCTTCCCCTGACCCACAAAAACAGTATATTGACAGAAGCTGTTCTGCTCTGTCGCCCTGTTGTAATAGAGGTAATATAACATTACTCTTCCACTCATTATAGGTGATGGTTATGGATTTGGTAACATCAAGGAACATACGCAGCTGCAGGCACAAGGCTTGCTTCTTTTCAGCAGCATTGGAGTATTACAAATTTGTAATGATTTTTGCTGCAGGAGAGAGGTGGGAGGTACCTCAGTGGTTTGGTTCATCAGCTGTAATCAGAGCTGCAGCTTTGAAATGAGTTGATCAAAGTAAGTGGTACTAGGGGTGTTCCTTTCCAAATTAGGTTCCTTTCCAAATGCCAGAGGACTATGGTGTGGACATCTTCCTTTTGCAGAGAAAGTTCCTCTGTGAGGATTTTCCTTCATCCCTGCCTGTCTCCTCCGAGCAGATGGCAAATGGTAGGAGGGAGAGAATTCAGGTCAATTCATTTTAAAATGGTCTTACTATTCCCACAAGGAATTCTGAATTCCCATAAAGAGCTTTGAAAACTAGCTGATACCCTGCCCCTTACTCCATATGGGCTGAAATGGTGCCACCACCACTGAGGATGATCACTGACCATTAGAGTGCTGAGGCTGGCTGCTGAGCTACCAGCAGCCAACACTGCCATCCTGGTACAATGCCATTCCTCATCAGGGAATAAGGGAAGGGGGAGTTCAGAACCTCATGTTTTGGTGGGTCTGAGCAGATGAGAACCCACGTTCATGTTTTGTTCAGCTTTAAGACAAGCTTCTGTGTGAATCTGATTAAAACAATTCATTTACTTGCTAACATCGAACTTTAAACCGTAAGTATGGTAAAAGGAGCCAGGAATCAGGGTCTGAGTTTCTCCTGCTAGTTTGTGCATTGCTCAGTCTCCCCATGCCCTGTTGAAGCTCTGTGAGCTCTGCCAGATGAAGCAGATTGGGGGCTGATGTCTGCAGCTGGGAAGTCTCTGCAGTAACTTGCCACCAGTCACCATTTGCTCAGTTGTCCTGATCTCCAGAACAAACAAGGACTGGCCTCTGTCACTGCAGTGGACGTGCAGGCCCTGCAAAGGCTGTCCCTGGTGTCCTGTATGTTTATAGCTAATGTAAATAATGCCAGCAATAGCTGAATTTTATCTCATACAGCAAAAGTCCTCCTCTGAACCAAGGCATTAGAAAGACTTGGTATTGTCTTGCTGGAGTATGCTGGGCAGGAAGGACAAAGAGAAAATCAGGATTAGGGTTGTATTTCTGGATAACTTTAGTATTACTACCATTTTAATGTTGCTTTGATGGCATACAGCGACCGTGTAATATGCCTGAGCACAGCTATCAGGCCATAGCTGAGCACTGGGGAGTGCCATGCTTTGCAGGGTCTCCCAAAGCCAGCCAGACCCTGCGCCCTGCCTTGCGACTGCTCCCTGAAGCAGTGCTAACCATGATGCTTATAGATGTTTGCCCAGCCAGTGACCACAAAAAGGGGCTCAGAAAGCCTGCTGAGCAATGCGGAGTCACTCGGGCAGCTCTACACATTGTTTCTGTGTTGCTTTTATTCCCTCCTGTCTGTCAGCAGTGTGGGTAGAGAGACATGAGCTTGCAGTGCGGCAATGGTTATACCTATAAAAACAGGCTTCTGCTGGTTTGGTTCCATAAATTTGTAGGAATGTGCAACACCTACATAAAGGGACCTTTGTCTGGATGTTGCTGCTTCTGAGCTGGGAGATTTCCTACTTTCATTATGCCTACTCATAACGGGAATGATTTAAAACAGTAAAAATGCTATATGTAAACATAGTCGTAAGACTAGATGAAGTCTTCATCAGTCTGATGTCGAAAGTGAGGAGTCTCTCTGTTTCTCTGACAGTATTTTGAAAAGCAGTGACTTTATAAATTCATGCCAAGATTACTGAGCCCTCATCAGGGTTCAGAGAAACCCAAAATACTCCTTTTACTCCTCCTCCCTCCACATGTACTCCTCAGCTATAGAAAGGGCAATGTTGTGATGTTTGCCATAGTCATGACAGGAGGTGTCACCACATTTCCATTCTTCAGAAAACATCTGTATTACCTGTGCCGTGTCCGGTGCTCCTGAGGGTCGAATGAACTGAGGAACTACTGCGGGACCAGCAATAAATTAGATGGACAATTAGTTGCTACCTGTGTTTTACCACTTCAGCCTGTGGTGTC